GTAGAATTGATATTCTACATTTACAGAGTATATTAAGAAGATTGTAATGGCCCTATCACAAAAGAAAAATACTTTAAAAATGGATTAATTAGTTTCTCTGATAATGTTGGCTTTTGAATTTCCTCTTTTCATTTAAAATTTATGGCCTCAGTATGACATTAGTAGAGTTTATTGCATTTTGCAGGTGGCATTCATATGTTGTTGCTTTATGTGCCATATATTGTGGGCAATGGGTTGCAAGTTTTTGTTAAAAATTTCCAGAACCACACAAGTACTTCTTAATTAGACTTGCAAATGAGTAATGCCTTTCTTCAAGGAGGGGAAATCGTTAAAACATTACAGGAATTTCTGTGCTTTTTTTCCCTTAGTTAATAGTCAGGAAAGTTTGCAGTAAAGTTTACTTTTTGAAACTTTGACATTTTATAGTAAGTTCTGATTTACATATGAAGTCATCATCTGACAATTCCAAACAAATGTCTTTACAAAGCAAACCAGTATTTTGTCTATGTGCCTGTGTCTCAAAAAAGCTTGAGCAGATTTATCTTGCTTTCTGCTATTCAAAATAGTGGAAAGATGTAATCTTAACTGCATATTTAATATCTTAAAAATTTAATAATAGATTTTAATAATGTAATAATTACCCCCTTAGTCATAGATTCCAGTGGCACAACCACTACACACAAATCACTATACTTTCTCCAAACAAGCATTACTAAAGTAAAACAATACATCAGAGCTCATACTATTGATAATGTTAACACGGAAAGTAGAAAAAAGAAAGCATGAAGTGATCAAATTTTCAGATAAAATCTTTATACCACTTCTCAGACACAGTAAGATCTAGAAACAGAGTCTAATTTCTATAAGCATGTTTTTAGATCCAAACTGACCCTGTACTTAGTTCCAAGAGAGTTCAAAATTCTTAGTATTTATTCCCATGGCAGATGTCCATTTCATCTTGAATATGCAAATTTTTAAAAGATTTCTTATGATTTTATTTGGCTTGTAAATAACAACCTTGATTTTTTAAGATACATAATGTTTGGCAATGAAATTTTATACTTACGAGTATTAAATTATGCCAAAAAGCCATTTACTTGATATTCTTCAAATACTATAGCACAATTCAACTTAAAGCACAATTCAACTTTAAATACCATAGCACAAGTCAGGTAAAGATGTAAACCATCTTAAATAACACTAATGCAATGTGCACGTAATGAACAATATAACTAACTTAATTTTCATGTAACAGATAACATCTGGGGGAAATGTATATTGGCAAGTTATGCAAAACTAATTTTCTAGCAACCACATCTGTAGATGTTATTTATTGTATGTTCACTTAACAGTCCATTATTCTGTTTAGAAATCTATTCTCTTCTTTATTAGAGCTTTTAATGTACTCACCTTAGTTCAAATGGTCTGCTCATTATCAGAAAAAATATAAATGGCATTCACATGGAACAACGTGATTGTTTTTATTATATCCATTTGTGTTCAAGCATTCAAAAATGGCAAGAGAAACACATTTATTGCTTTACATTCAAAGTAATATTTAGGGGGTATTTGAAAGTCAAGCAAAACCAATCATTTGGCCAAATGGATGTATGTGTATAATCAGAAACTCCTGATTTTTAATCTCAGCATTAGGCCTCAGGCAACTCACTGAAAGGCCTTCCCTTTGTTTCCTGATCTGAAGATTATGGGTGCTATTCTCATATAGAAAAAGGGAGGTTGCTAAATCAGGGTACCAAATAGGAGTGTTTTTTTAATAAACATTCTTGATCCTTTTCTGTTTTTATTTTTCCAGATTTAAGAGGTAACATATTAGACTTTTGAGGAAAAAAAAAAAATGAGACAATTACAATTCTGCAGGAATGTATAAAAATAGTTATAAAACTAGCTTTATTTAATTTGCTTCAACTATTCATAGACTTGAGGAAATTATAACGTTCTTTCAGAAAATCTAACTTAATAAAGCTGACCATGTCTCTCTGTTTTTAAATAGATTTTATTACAGAACCAGCGATGTTGTAAAACATGAGGTTTTGTTAAAAAAAAAACAAAGGCCTAATTGTATTTTTTAAAGAAACTATTGCATCAGACGGTTTCATTTAAACATATTTTCTGGCTCTGGGCTCTCACCACAATTATTGATTCTAATTTTCCTTAAACTTGCTTTTTAAAAAGGCTACCATTTTTAATGTGAAAAAAATCACTGTGATGCTTCTGGGCATTATGTTTATTTCAAACCATATATTTGACAATGTACTTTATTATTATTAATGAAAAGACTTTATATTTACCCTCTTCTGAAATTGGGACATTTCTTTCCCTTGCAGTATCTCACTAACACAGCTAAGCGTAATTCTTCATAAAAAAGAAAAACAGAGCTAGGGTTTGGTTCACTAATAGTATGCAAAACACCCTGAAGAAATTCTCACCCCCTAGTTTCTGTGCACCAATTAAATCAAATTAATAGTTATGTGGGCTACACTCATAAAAATGAGGGCAAAGAAAAGCTCAACTCTCAGTCAGAACTTCAGGTTCTTGGGAGTTTCACTCCACCAAAGAAATGATGATGTGGAAGCCGGGAAGTTCCAAGTTTCCAAGTGTGTGCCCAGTACACACACACACACACACACACACACACACACACACGGTGCCAAAGACCAGGAAACTGGGTAGTTGGTGAGTCATTCAGATGAGCCCTATAAAGAAATTCAGAGCACAGGGATGTGAGAGAAAGAAATGAGAGAATTGGACACAAATACCTGCTTACATTTAAGTGTATAATCTGATGGGGAAATGGGTACAAGTAGAAAAGGGCAGATGGTAGAATCTGCTACTACCAGGCTGGAGAGGCAACCTATTGAGAACTTCCACAGGGTGTGAGGGCAAGTGAGCAGGAAGGCCTAGCCTGTGTATGGCCAAGCTCAGCAACAAGACAAATATGGTGACAGTAGACCAGAGAAAATTCTACTGCCTTAAAAACAACACTTTTACCTTGCAGATTATCTCAGTGCCTGCAGTAAATTCAGTAAACTCCATTCAATTCCTTTCTCCCTTCTTTTTGCCATCTCACTCATTCCCACCACCCCCACTCCTGTTCCTCAGTGTATATTAAAGTCTATACCACTAAGTAAATACCTCATCATCTTCCCTTGTCTCTGATTCCCATGTGCAGCTTATTTATTTTACCTATAATGTTTCAGAGGCCACTAAAATATGTTTAGCTGTCTCCTTTTCCTAGCTTGGTAAGATAAAGAGCAATAGAAGGTAAAGGAAGGATGAAAAACAAGAGTGCTGAAAAAAGGTACAAATCATTTTGTGGGAAGATGAAATTCTTGTATGCCCCATTTACGAAAAATGCAATGGCTCGTGGAAGTGCATAAGAGAAAAGAACCATTCTGATATGTTTTCTAAATATTCTATTTTGATTAACATTTAGTTGACTTAAGATAAACAATCTGGAATGATGTCACCTAACAGAATAAAAATTAAGTGCTTGATAATAGCAGTAATTTCCAAATATGGCAACTTAATGACGTATTACAGTTTACTGAAAACCACAAAGGACAAGAAGTCAGCACACCAGAGTTTAACTCCCAGCCCTGTCAAGAAGTAATTATTTGACCTTAGGCCAATCATTTAACCTCTTGGTTTCCAAATCTTTTTGCCTATAAAGTTAGGACACGTTGGGGCTTCTATATATTTACACTAAGCAGCAACTTTGTATAAAATCAAGTTAAAATTAATAATATTAATTCAATGCAAAACACATAAGCATTTGTAAGACCAAAAGTAAAACTTAGCTGCCAGTACATTCCAAAACCTATCTAAATCAAAAACATTAATATTTAAATGGTGACATGTAACACACAAATTCATTTGAAATATCGTGGAGACATTAAAAATGAATTCATGATTATTTCATTGGTTTTTCTTTTTCAGGCTTCACAGGATGATAATTATTTGGCGAATTTATGCATTTTCAAATTTTTGTCTTCAAACTTACATTTGAAGCTCTAATCTTGGGGCCTGACTTTGTCAGCATACTGTGGGTGACTTCATCTCTGGGCCACAATAACAGGCTCCTATAAAGTAAAACAATTTATCAATTTACAATGAGGCATGTAGTAGGCGTGAAAACGAGAACCCTCAAGTGGGCATGTCTCTACAGATCAACTGGGATGGGAATTCAAATTATAACCAAAATACTGCTTATTAAACATGGAATTAGAACAACACCTAATTAAATGAATCAAATGTTTAATGTTATGAATACCCTCATCTCCCCTTTCCCTCCCCTGAGACAGAGTGAGATGGGCACTGCCAAAGTTGGCTTCCTTGACTCTCCTTTCCCTTCATTTCCAGTGTTAACCAACCATCAGCCTCCTTCTGAGCGGCACGCTGCTGCTAAAGAATTCTTCAATGCTCATAGTGAAGTCTTGCCTTGCCCTCTGTGTGTTTGGCAAATCTCCTCCCTGGTCTACCGGCTTCATATATTAACCTTTGCAGCCCTTATCGTCTTCATCACCAAGTTCTTGATGGCCACTTCAGCAGCTACATTCTGCCGAGTCATAGCAGTCCCCATCAGGATGTCATTAAGTGTATTAAACACCTAATCCTCTGCCAGAACTAGAGAAGATACACATAGCATCTAAAACTTGGTTCTCCACCTACAGAGGGCTTATAGTCAGGAGAAAGGGGATACTGAAGCACAAAACAGTTAAGATCGAGGAGATACTACATGAAATCGTAAACCACAGAGTATAGAAAGGGAATGAGACAGTGGGCAAACAAAGTGTTAATTTTGAGAAATGGAGCTCAAAAAGCACTAGAGAACCAAGAGGGCAATGGCATCAAAAATTCAAAGGAGGTGGCACTTGAAAGATAACAGACTTGGAACTATGGTACATATGTAACGGAACTGACCGAAACTGTGGTTGCTCACCAAAGGCTGTGTCATAATTCAACTTTTTTCTTCCCATCAGCAAGTAATAGAGGTTGTCAAGTCTGCATGTAGCCCTTTCCCAAATCCTCTGGAAGAAGGAATCTCATCTGATATTTATTCAACATTCATAGAGCCCCCCACAACATTGGATACAGAAATGAAGGTATGTTTCTTTTTGTCTTTTCATTCACCCTACCTCAACATTATATTCTCTTGGGGTGGGAGGAAACGAACTAAAGGTTTTCTTCATTTTCTTTGCCTCTGATTTTTCCCAACCAAATACAAATATTTCTCGAAGTGTCAATTCAAAGATGAGTCCGCTGATGGTAGTTCAGCAATTTTAATCCTTTGCATCCCACCCTTCCTAATCTCCACCTTCACTTTCCCCTAGGCACCATGTTGATACCATGACTTGATCTGTCATAATCCTTATGAATAGGAATATAAATGCAGAGTAACATCAAATCAAAATCTCCCTCCAGATTGACATTGTTTCTGCTAGAAAAGTATCCAATAGAAATTTGAGGTTCAAGTGAGAACACATGGACACAGGGAGGGGAACAACGCACATGTGGGCCAGTTGGAGGGTGGGCAAGGAAGGGAAGGGAGAACATCAGGACAAATAGCTAATGCATGCGGGCCTTAAAACCTAGATGACAGGTTGATAGGTGCAGCAAACCACCATGGTACTCGTATACTTATGTAACAAACCTACACATTTTGCACTTGTATCCTGGAACTTAAAGTAAAATAAAATAAATTTAAAACAAGAAGTTTTACATTCCATATAAATCAATGAATGCTCTAGAAATCACCTGAGTGTTGTTTACCTTCAATATTCTAGGGGTTGGATCAAGAACAAAGTCCTGAGGAGTCTCAGCCAGAAACTGACACCTCAAACATGGATCCTTTAGTTGGATTCACCATTGAAGATGTAAAATCAGTGCTGGATCAAGTCACAGATGACATTTTAATCAGCATTCAGGTACTCAGTATTGATAGTATGCTCACTTACTTATTACTGGTTAATTAGCCAACCTTAACTTTAATGTCTATAAACACTTCCCACACGGCCAGCACGAGTGATGCTTATGATGAAGTTCAATTTAACAGCTTCACGTAATTCTCAGTTGCGTCATCAGAGATTCAGTAAGATCACAAAATAGATTTTCCAACAGCATCTAGTGTGGTGCATGTTATCAGTTAACAAAATCAACGACAAAATCCGAAAAATAACATGGTAAAGGCTTTATATCTTGTCAAACTGTAAATGTTGCTCATGCAAAAGGAATTGGAGTGCATTTCTAAATGGTAAACACTGAAGATCAAACCTTAATCCTTAGCTAAGTGTTCTCCCCAAATTTCTAAAGACTTTCAGATCTTTGAACTGCCTCTCAGACAGTTTGTTCCTTTTTACCTATCATTAATGGCTAAGCAGTTTACACCAATAACTACACGAACATAGTGATGGCAGCAGCCATATGAATAGCAGCTGCCAATGATTTATTAACTGGCTTAGGTTTATGCTTAGTTCTTTCTCATTCTGTTCAAAAAACAAACAGCCATTTCTACCCCAACTCAAAGACTTACAGGAATTCACATAATTTTTCAGGCCAAATGATTAAATAAGTAAAATGCATATTCTGAGTACACTTGCAATTTTTTTAGAAATGACTATAAATCAGGAGGGCAACCTAGTGCATATTTAAAATATTAATGCACCTCCGGAGAAGATTTAGTTGTCATCTGAACATGAGACCATATATTAAAAGCCCACTGTATTAACAACTAATTTAAAAAGAGCACAAGATTAGCTTGGCATAAACATACCTTGTTACTTGTTTAATCATCAAATGTTATTGCACTATTTACACGAACATTTAATGATTTGGTGCCAACAGGCTCAGCCAAAGTCCTCAGCTTAATAAGGGGTGTTTAGTGTTTACCAGAAATAGTGGAAGAACACGTTTTACACAAAGCTTTATTGTTAACAACCCCATGAATGTAATAACTGGTTATTGTGTAGAAGGGCAGAGTGCAGTTGAATTAAGCTGAGTTCAGAACATATCTCCTTTTTAGATTTGATAACATTTCATCTAAATATAGTTTATGTATAATCATGGCTCTGGGCTCCTTTGCAATCCTGCAGCTCTGAAATTATTGCCGAGGAACTACTAGACAGTAACTGAATTGTTTGCAGGCCCAAAAAATCAAAAACGTCTTTACCAAAGCTGTCTTCCATGCAGTGAACAGTATGTTTTTAACTATTCATTGAAATTATTTTAAATATTACAGTCTACAGCATTTATACCCCTACTCTGTATGATAGCTGTGTGTCTGTATGTTATCTTCCCATTGGCCTGAAGCCATCCTGGAGGTTCAATAGCTTGCTCACCTAAATGTAATTAAGCACGGAGAGGACATGGACCAGAGGACAGGGATGCAGATCCGCTAGGTGCCACAATCATTTCCATAGTAAGTGGATTTGTAGATATCAGCCTGGGCCAAATTACTGCCAATTTTTCAATGAAATAGCATGATGATGTGGAATTATACAATGGCTCGAGATGGCAAACCCCTTTATGTATTTTTTCTCAGTAATCCTAGTAAACTCCATGTGAGTGAGGCAGACACTTCCCCTGATAAATTGAAAAATGGGACACAGAAAGACTTAAGTTATTTGTGCAGAGTTCCCAGGGTCGACAACTGATGAAAGACCCTGAATGGGAGCTGTGACCTGGGTTCTAGTTCTAATTCCAGTGCTATCCACAAAAACCACATAACTTCTAATATCACAACCAGACTACTTTGGATGTTAACACTCCCGTGGTGTGGCACTTTTTCCGTGTGTACCCTTGCGTCTTGGTCAGATTCCAAGTTGGGTAATTACTCTCTGCTTACCTAAATTCCTCCTCCTATTTTAGATGTATAAGTTATTTTCCACTTCTAAAACCTGCCTTCCAGTGTTCCTTGCTCTAAGAACTGCCATATCCCTTTTCAAAGGTAGCTATGTGTCAGTGGTCAGTGTATATATGCCATTTGAATACATTGACCTGCTGTAGGAACATTTAATGAATTACTGCTTGTGAGATGTTTTAAATTTTCCCACAGTTTTTTTTCTCCTCCTTTGTGTAAAGGTCATACTGTTATTACAATTTTTGCAAAAAAAAAACAAAAAAACAAAAAAAACTGGCAGTAAATAATTCATGTTTTAAGTACAGTTTTTTTCAAAACTCCTTTTCTATGTGGTTTCAGGCATATTTGACCTTCCCTAATACAGAAATTTCTGAAAATGTAGTATGAATCCATAAGTTTTTTATGTTAATTCACTTATTTTCCCATTGACTCATTTTATGGTTTTAGAGATTTATTAAGAATGAAGTTATCTTGGCCCTGAGATGTTAATTAAAATTATACTGAATAGAGCAAACATTTTAAGCCTGTATAGTTTAGGTATTTTAATTTTAAAGATACATTCAAAATGAAATTATTTTGGCCCTGAGTTGTGTAATAAAAATTATACCCAATGGAGCAAACTTAAATATATTTAAAGAACTACATTTCAGAGAAATATGAATGCTAACACTAAATTCTTACATTACATGTTGGCTGTTGGCCCTGTCTAAGCAATAGGGTAAAATAATGTAAAAACTTTGAGGGAAGTTTGCCATCTTGGGACGCTAGATGTTTTTAGGTCAACTTGAATTTTCCAGGTTAGAAAAGCTGAGCATGAGATCATCTCAAAGAAGTGGTCAATGAGAGACTACTGAACCTATTTTTTTTTTTTTTCTTAAAAAAAAAAAAAGTAGAACCAGACCCAACCACAGTATTTGCAGGATTGTTTGTCTGTTCAGCAAGGTTCTGAAGAATGATAAAGAAAAGTGGCTAATGGCAGCCTGTTCTTGACTAGAAGTACAGCCTTTAGATCCAAACTCCGCTGGTTGTGACTGAACTAAAGTACTAAGCACTAAAGTCTGGAGATCTGAAACATTATTCACCTTTGTCAGTATGCCACTCTTTTAGGTGCACCTTCATGAACCTTTTCCCAAGGCCTACACTTGTTTTGATAATTTCTGTCTCAGTAAAATACCAGAAAGGCCTCCAAGTGAATGTAAAATCTCTATGCAGTAGTGAAACAGAAACTGGTAGATGATAAGCACATTAATCCTTAGCTGAAAAGAAATGAGATTACTGGTGGGCATAGAGGGACATTAATTGAAAGTGGGAAGAATCAATTGTTTGAGTGGAGCAATTCTTCCCAATCCCTTGAAATTGTGGTAAAATTATTTCAAACCGTTTTAATCCCTATGTGGTCCAATATGTTGTATGCCATAAATTTATTTTAATGAGGCAGGAGTAACAGATTTTTAAGTATTTCATGACATCATAACAATGAAAGATAACATTGGTGAAGTATATCACAAAATTGGAAGTTGGAATTACGAATCCAAAAACTAAAGTGTGACATTAACATAATCCTATTCCCCTACTTAATTTTTAAGGTAAGAGCTAAAATCCAGGTGGTGAAGTGAGTTACCTAAGGCGACATAGCTGAACTAGTACCTAGATCGTCCCAGTCTGAGACCAGTGCTCCTTTCGACCCTACCTAAAATCATGCGTAGATTATGATTTCTTTAGAGTCAGTACACCCTAAAGAAAAAGTTCCTGTGTGACCTGGAGGACAGTTCCATCCCTCCTTGCCTCCTCCACCCAACCACCAAGAAAGGAAAAGATAAGAAACCAGAGGCCAGAGCTTGATCCCAAGCTCTACTTGGTTTACTAAAAAGTATCCCAAGGTTTACTAAAGCTTGAATCAGAAAAGACTCATACTTATGAGAATTCTGAACCCAGAATTGTTGGCACATATATGATCTTTTCAGAAATATCATATCTTACTGTGAGATGAGATCAAATCTCATCAGATAAGGCAGCATGGACATTTCAAAACTATCTGTTATAGTTACCCTCTTGTAAATAAATATGAAAAATTGTATCTGGGCTTAAAACAGTATTTGATTTTTTTAAATGTCTTCTATTTAAATTAAAATAATAAAAGGTTTGCAAAGTACAGTTACCCTGAAGCCCTCAAATAATGTTACAGCTATTAGAAATGTAACTTTTTGAGTTTATTAACACAGATGTGTATAAGCTACTCCTTATACAGTGGTAGACATTTTTTAAATCACCTAAACAAGAACAAAAACACCAATTTTGCCACGTCAACCACCACTGGTTTTTCTGTACCTAATTTTATTATCCCTTGTGAAAAAGGGAAGACATTTCCAGGGCTACTAATGTTTAGATAATGTGAAAGTATTTATGGAATTGTGCAGGTAGCAATATGAGTCCACAGAAGATCACTGCCAGAGGCAAAATGCTATCACCACCTCGGCAATCACAAAACCTGAGAGTAATTGCTTACTTTTTTTTACCAAAAATATACCACAAAGTGGCATCATTCCAAGAGTTCTAATGTATGATGAATACTCTTAATTATGGGAATTGTTCTAATTGTAAGATTATTTGTGTTGTTTTTTCGCAACAGAAGCTTCCTGGGATCTCATTTAGAATGTATTACACAGAAGACACAGACATCCATTGCAAATGGGTGGAGGGACCCACAGCACTGCAATAACTGAGCCCAAAGCAGTTATTCTTATTCGGTGCTTATTGGTAAAGTCTGTCTGAAAATACAGATAAATTATCCTATCTTCCAACACAAGGCTATGTGAAAAATGGCCGTCCAAATACCACTTCCTGTTCATAGCAGACATGCTATACATTGGAAATGTGCAGAGAAATATGATAAAGTGTTATCACATCACTACAGGCTGAAACACAGCTATGTCTGCAAAACAGGAAGGTGTGTGAGGGATAATGTCTGTCTTTAGGCACTATAGTATGTCAAAACCACAAAGACAATGTGCAGCAAAAGATAGCTCCATCATAACCACGTTTTTTATGATTGTCTTCACAGACCGAGATAAATGAAAAACTGCAAATACAGGAAGAGGCCTTTAACGCACGAATAGAAAAATTGAAAAAGGCCTGAGGACTCGGTACAAGGAGAGTGATGCTAAACTTCACAGAAACAAACAAAACCAGTCAGAATAATAGACTCTCTGGAGCGTCGTATCTCTGTCACTTAGTTGTGAAAGGAAAACCAAGCCCCACTTTTTATTTTCCTAAGTAATTAGGAAAGTATTGGTCCCAATTTTGCTATCTCCCATCCCATAACAGCCTCTGAATTTATTGCACCAAGTGTAATAAGAATATTTTGTATACAAGAGTTTGGAGAATTATATATAAAAATACAATTACTTTTATGATAGTCCTTTGACGTTTTGACTAATAAATGCTATTCATCTTCAAGGAGAATGAAGCCAACTTTTTAAATAACCAGAAATAAAGAAAAATGATAATAACTTTATCCATTTTGACCCAAATGAACTGCCACATTACTGGAACACTGTGAAAAGATACCAGTACCACACTACTGAGGATAAAATTTGTTAAACAATAGCAATTCAAGTGCATATACATGGGTTGTTTTTTTTTTTTTTTTTTTTTACTGAAATCATTTGTTTTTCTTATTTAAACGTTTCAGTGTGAAAACAATTTTCTGAAATTATATAATGCAGTTTGAAGCACTTTAATTTATTCTGTACTGTATTTGTTATTTCTAATCTTGTTACTCTCCCAGGAGAATACATGACCTATATAAAAAGAAGCAATGTATAAATGGTTATTAAAGACCAACCTATATATAGATTGTAAAAATCTTAAATACAAATCAAACTCATAGAGTTCCCAAAATTAACCATTACATTGCAGTGGAATGATTTTTTTAAAATCTCAAGTCTTTAAATACCTTTATTAAAAATATAATTTCAAAAGAAAAAATATCAACTTGCCAGCTGATTGTCCCCAGTTGGACAAATTAATTAATTACCACCAAACTCTTTTCCAAAGTTCTTATACGTCAGAGTATGCTGGAATGGAGAGCAGTTTCCTCAAAAATTTCCTAGGTTATACAGTACTTTGATCGGGGTGACACTTGATTGAATATCAGCTTTAACCCTACTTTCTCCATCAGTTCAAAGAAACTGCCCAAAATATATTCACTGGGGGCACAGGCAGATCTGACAGCATTTGGTAATTTTCTAACTACACTGATCAGCGAAGTAAGAGTACCTTTTAAGGTAAAACAATGTTTATTGTTCCTGCAGTTCCAAGACTAAAAGGCCTGGAGATGTGTTTCTTCTCTGAGCTGTCCTTCCTAAATGAAAACGTTGATGGCTGCAGATCAGTAGGAGGGCTCATGAAGTCTGGATTCCATCAGGCGGTGTTTTCTCCAGAACAAACTGAAACTGGGGAGACTGCAAATGTGGAATAAAGGAGCTTCCAGAAATCACCAAAAACAGCTTCACGTGCAATCGTTGGCACAGAATAGACCTGCATCTCCAATAAAGAGTGCTTATCTGAGCAAGGATATCAGTCAGAAGTATCAGGACTCTAAGACTGAACCAAAATAGCACTAGGATCCCTAAACACCATATAGAGACAATATATGTAAGCATGCCTAAAGTTGTGGTCTCTAGACTGAGACTCCCACAGTGTGATACTGGCTTCACACTGGTGTGTGTGTGACCTTGGACAGGCTACTCAACTTCTATTTGCTCATCTGTTAATTGGAAGTAATACTTTTTTTGAAGTGGTTATGAGGACTCAATATGCCGCTGCCCATCCCTAATACCCATTGCCCAGTTGCTTGATTAGGCTGTCTGCCAGAATTCCGAGCCTTCTCTGTCTCTCCACTGGCACCTGTGGGGCAGCATGTCCTCTCCCTCTGTTGAAGTCATCCCATGGTAGCCACCCTACCACTCTGCTCTCCTGTATTTTCCATGGTGGAGAAGCCCAGGGATCTCTCTGGCAACCCAACTTGAAGATATAATAATAATAGGAGTAAGAGCAACCACAACTTGCAAAAGTATTTTTTGCCCATTCAAACAATTGGATACATGCATAAGTGGTCTTTTTTTAATATTGCTCTTTACATTCCTTTTCAGCAAGTAATATATCGGAGAGAGAATTTCCTATCAGTACATTTTAGCAACCATGTAATATTTCATTTTATCATTTCATAATTTTTTGATGGGTCCTCCTGCTGAACTTTTTGGTTTCCAGCAGTTTGTTATCGCCATGCTGCATGGCTACCCTTGCGCACACATCTTTGTGAATGTGTATGATTATACCTGTAGGACAAAACTCTAGAGGTGGAATTCCTAGGTCCAATTGTATGTGCATTCCAATATTCTTAGATATTGTCAAAGATATTTCACCATTTTGTATGCCCACCAACAGTGTGTAAAAATACCTCTTTCTCGGCCGGGCGCGGTGGCTCAAGCCTGTAATCCCAGCACTTTGGGAGGCCGAGACGGGCGGATCATGAGGTCAGGAGATCAAGACCATCCTGGCTAACCCGGTGAAACTCCGTCTCTACTAAAAAATACAAAAAACTAGCCGGGCGAGGTGGCGGGCGCCTGTAGTCCCAGCTACTCGGGAGGCTGAGGGCGGAGCTTGCAGTGAGCTGAGATCCGGCCACTGCACTCCAGCCTGGGCGACAGAGCGAGACTCCGTCTCAAAAAAAAAAAAAAAAAAAAAAAAAAAAAAATACCTCTTTCTCTACATTTTACCAACAACATACATTAGTCAATTTTTTGTCTTTGATATTCTGATAGAAAATAATGTCACACTATTGCTTTAATTTGCTTTTATTGTTTTACTCCACATGGGTTGAATACCTTTTCATATATTTATAAGAAAATATATATATATATTCATTTAACATATATAATGTGTGATAATAATATATATATTATGGTTATTAGGAAGACTATATTCATTTAGTCTTCCTAATAACCCTGAGAGAGAGAGAGAGAGAGATGATAGATAGATAGATAGATAGATAGATAGATAGATAGATAGATACTATTAGTCTTTAATAGTTAGCCTCATTTTATAGTTATGGAGCCTGAAGCTTAGAGGGATTATTAACCTAAACAGAGTTACACATTTAATGATTGGTGAGACGGGGCTTCCAAACCGAGTCTGACCTACTTTACAGATGACGAAACTGGAATACAGAGAAAGTTTAGGTAATTCTCCATGATCATACTGCCTGCAGGTGGTAGAATTAAGTTTGGAACTTGGGCCAGTATGATCACAAAACCCAAGTGCTTAACCTTTATCTTCATCTAGCCATCTCGTAGTTGACATGAAATAAAGAGAAAGCTGACCTTTCCTTTTCCTTACTATATGATAGTATTATTAGAATAAGCAAGTTTGTTGCTGTTCCCTTATTACTATAATAAGGGAACAAACTTGCTTATGCTAATGAGTGTATTAAGTTTTGAAAAATGTATCCAAGGATAGAATATATAACTCATTTCCATTCATCTATTCCATTGTGATGTATTCGTTGAGCACCTTCTATTTGCCTGGGCATTTAGTGGTGAGCCAAATAGACATGGTATCTGCCCTAATAACTTAGTGGGGGCAGTTAATAGTAACTGTGATAAAGACAAGCTCAGGGAGTTAGGAGAATATAGGGCAAAGGAGCTTGGTGGCATCTAAAAGGTCAGAGAATCTTCCTATGGGTATCAACACCAGGGCTGGGCCCAAGAAAATTTAACCAAAGAGAAGGTGAAGGAAGATGTGTTTCTGACAGAACGAGGCATGTGCCAAGTCCCTGGGACACAAGCTGAAGCTGAAGAATTGTCCAGAGCCAACGCTGTTGTGGGGTTGTGGAGCACATTACAGATTTTTATTTTTATTTTTTATTTTTATTATATTTTACTTATTTATTTATTTATTTTGAGACAGAGTCTGGCTCTGTCACCCAGGCTGGAGTTCTGTGGCGTGATCTTAGCTCACTGCAAGCTCCGCTCCCGGGTTCATGCCATTCTCCCACCCCAGCCTCCCGAGTAGCTGGGACTACAGGCGCCCGCCACCACACCCGGCTAATTTTTTTGTATTTTTAGTAGAGACAGGGTTTCACCATGTTAGCCAAGATGGTCTCGATCTCCTGACCTCGTGATCTGCCCACCTTGGCCTCCCAAAGTGCTGGAATTACAGGCGTGAGCCACCGTGCCTGGCCACAGATTTTTATTTTTAACTTAGAAACAATGACTCATTGTTGACAAACCTTAAGTAGCAAGTGACATCAGATTTGTGTTTTTAAAAAGGTCATCTCTCTGGTACCAAGACTTCTAGCCGTGGAGACCTGGAAAAGGGAATATTCTTATAAAAAGAGTCCTACTGCTAATGATAGCAACACTTCATAGCAGTTTCTAAGAGAGGGAGAAATAAAGAAAATGTTTGACTTTTTTAAAGTGACAGAGTCCACCTACTCTAAGCACTCTTTGGCATAAAGGTTGCCCTCTGAAGAGCCAGTTTAAAAATAATACCAACCTATCACTTAGGAGCAGCTTTTCTCTCGTCATCCACAATAAAGTATGTTTCTTCTATTTGCAGGAATAATTTGGAAAACTTTTTGCATAGATCCCATGATAAGTTTCAAAGAGCAAATATATTCATTATGTTATAAACAAGCCACAGACTGCCACTATTTCAGGTATTTGCAGGCACTGTTGTGCCTAAATATAACTGTGGAGTCATTTTCCCAAAATCTGAATATAAAGCCCCTATTTCTATCCTTCATTTGATTGGAACCATTCAATCATCCTGGTAGAGAATAAGTTTGCATGTTCTTAGATTGCATTTCATTATGTTTCAGTTCCCCTAGAGAATAAATGTGCTCCTTTTCCCAACAATTGTAGAAGAGAAATACTTCTGACATCTCAAATTTCAGCCTCTGGAAGACGTCCCTCTTCTGGACATGAAAGTCATTTGTTTCCTGGACATTCATTTGTTAAATAAGAGAAGTCAAGACCCCCTCGTGACAGCCAAAATACCTATTAATTTAAGTTTCCAAAGAAAAACGAATCCAGATCAAAATAATTCCATCCAGATCAAAATAATTTCAAACCAAAGAGAGAATACTAAAAATTCCTTTTGCTTTCAGGATGACTTTCCTTTTCACAGAAGTACCTTCAGTGAAGAAGATTGGTTTATCATATTTTATTTGTCAGAGCTGCCAAAGTGTTTTATGTTAATATAATTCTTAGCTTCAGAGAATGTTCATTGCAAATGTCTTCAACGGTCATTTTGGTGTTTGTTTCTTCCTTTTAATCTAGCTTGTAATTTATTCTGGGCTTTCTAAGTACCACAATGAAAGAAGACAATTAAGGTCCTTAACTTGAGAGAGTCCATGGAATTAATGACGTTTATAATCTAGAGACAGAAGACACGCAAGTGAATTATTTTTTCAAAATAACATGCAGAATTATAATCACAAAATGTTTATAAGGATAATCCTCAAACCCATATAAACCCACTTACTTAAAATAATGTTGGTCCAAATCTTCTTTGCAGAATTCCAAATAAATTATGTGGATACTCCACTCCAAAGGAGGAGGAGTGTAACTCCACTGATGTATGGGCTGTACATAGTGACTTCCAAAGAATATACTATGGAAAAAATAATGCTTTTATAGTTGAGAAACCTGACAAACACTGCTTCAGCCAGGTTATCAAGGTCAACATCAACAGTCAATAAATCATGTTAATTCATGCACCCTTGATATGAGGTGAAAATGTTGAAGATCTCTGTGATCGTCATGCCAAAAACCTAAAACCCCGGTCTAATCATGAAGAAAACATCAGGCAAATTCCAAAAAAGGAACAGTCTATACCTGATTAGTA